TCAGGCCCAGCGCGGACTTGATGGCTACCAGCGCTGACACTGCGAGATGGCGGCGGGGTGGGCATGGAAGTATATCCGCGGTTAGGGATGAATAGCTAGCTTTGGCAGTTCACAGGGGCGCATTTCAAAATTAGGGTTCGCAAAATCCTACGGTTCCCCACGTTAGCCGCTGTAGTAGGAACCCAGAGGACTCAGTCCTCTAGAGAATTCACCCCCCCAAAAAGTCACCCCGAGGTTACCTCGAGCTTACCCCCGTTGGAGGTGAGTTTGTACCCAAGCAACAATTTCTAGAGTCCATCTAGAAACACGGGCGGGAGGGCCGCACTAAGGATTGTGATGCAAAAGAGCGCCGCTACTAGTACTACAACTACTACCAGCACGGTGCTACCTTGCGATGACTTGATCAAGGAGCTTCCGTGCACCGTGACGCCGCGAAAATGGTTCCCCGGCTGACTGCCGCCCGGCCAAGTGCCGCCGCTCGACAGAAGCAGCAGCACGGCCACCACACAGGCAAGCCGCGCTGCCATAGCTCCTATGAACTTTCTTACCGCCGGTAATTGCGGCGCAATTTTGCCGCCACAGCGTAATATCATTCTAGAATCAGCTTTGCCTACTAGATAATAACGGAAAAAATGGTACTACTAGTAGTGGTTTTACTACTAACTCACACTGAAACACTTCGCTCTAAGGGCGTGTAACTATTTCAGTTTACGCTAAAAGTACGTTCGGAGCCTACCAGACGTACGGACTGTGCCCCGTCCGTACGTTAGGGGGTGTGGTTCGGACGCTGTGCCGCACGTACCACATTTGTGACACTTTTTGTGCTTTCGAAATTCAAAAAACATGCGACAAGTTACACTCGCTACCACTGTCGCTGCCCCCTCGTCAAAGTCGCCCAACACCAACCGCGCCTCTGCATTATGCCACGTAATTTTGGGGACGTCCAAAATGTGTATGAGGCGCGTCGTGGCGACGGAAATTTGAGCGGGGAAATCGAGCCGCATTGACTTCTGCATTCCTTTTTTCGTGCGCCAATGGGGTGTCAGAGATGTTTGGCAGTACGGACGGGTGTCCGGACTCTGTCAGGACTGTTGGACATATGTGTGAGAGGCGTGAAAGTGCCAGTTGTGGTTTGTACGTTGGCGACGTCGCAGGGTTTCTGGCGAACTTGATGACGAGTAATAGCGAAACCAGTAACCCGTTCCAAGTACGTACGGGACAGTCGTCCGTACTTTGCAAATCGAAAAAGTTACACGCCCTAAAACACAGCTGTCCACTGATGGTGGAGCTTTGGGAGACATTCTGCCAGAATTCTCGCACCCATCTGGCATTTGCCCTACTAGCCCACAGTGTGGAGTGGAGCAGCGATACGATCCCACCCACCTTATTCGGCGGATGTGTTTCGACGTGAGCTGAGGTGGGGGGTGAGTGAGAGGGGTCGCCGCACAGAAACAAACGTCGTTGTATTGTAGCGAATCGAACACCATTTTGGCTCAACGTGTCGCGTCCTTGGCTGCCCACTATCGTATTCAATACGGCACCTCCTTAGCATCATCCTTCGTCCACTTGTTGCGCCGTCGCCTGTGGGTCCGTTGCTCCTGCCGTGCATATTAGCCGCGGAGCCTGTTACTCCTGTACTCCGGGGCACTCATTCCCGGTAGCCACGTTGTCGCACCAGAGCCGTCTGTTGCCCGTGTGTCTGCAGCTTCAGTCGTCGCCTCCTATCTACTCTCCTCTCGCCAGCCCTCCTCCTCCTCACTTGCCCCCTGTGACTACTTCTAGCTTTGCTCATAATTGTGAACCTTAAACTATTGCTTCTTGCTTGTGCTCAGAATGTGTGGTGACATCGTGATCCACCCTGAGCTTGTACTGCTTTGTTTGCTCTGCTGATTACACCCCACTTTGGCTATGGGGGTGTGTCAGAATATTATGCTCTAGCCTGTAGTGGGGTGCTCTGTAGCGAGTACAACCCTTCTAGGGTTTGCTATTTGTATCCCCATTCTTGCTAGTTCATTCTCTCTTTCTGTTCCTAACTTCTGCCTAGCTTGTTTCGACAGTTGCTGCTGGCGAAATGTGAAATTTTTTCACACGGTGGTTTCCTGGGAAACACTCACCCCACAACGGCTAGGGAAAGGGCAAAGGGAAAATATGTAACTTACATGGGGCACTGTAACGCGTACGGTAACGATTTCAACGCAATTGGTAACTCGCTTAACGCGTTTGGTAACTCGCTTAACACGTTTGGTCACTCGCTTAACACATTTGGTAACTCTACACTAGCAGCCCATCACGCGAATGGTAACTACATGAAATTCCCGCCGAAATGATCATGACAAAGAGGAATTTATCGAGTTTGAAAGCTTTTACGCACAATATTATTTTTTTCGAACAAGTCCCGCCGCGAATTTGAAGGACCCCGTCTGCTCTAATACCACGGACCACAAAGTTTCAGGGCCATTTTATATATATATGTAGCTCATAGAAAAATGGTTAAAATCAT